GTGAGTTGCATTTTCAGATGCATGCTACAGCATACTGTTGGGCATGTATACACTATGTGTGTGTGCGCATAATGTTTACTCCTTTCCTCAATAAAACAGAGTCTCTTCAAGCAGTACGCAGGCAAGTGCAAAAATATAGTCACACAGCAATGAAGAGCAACTCAGCCCGACACTTGAAAAGACTATCTGTTTGCTTTTCAATGCACCTATTAATGATCTTTTGATTGACGCTGCTGCATACTGTATTTATTTTGGTCTTGTTGTCCTCTGAAGCCCTTTTACATGACCACAACTTCTGTGTAAAACTTGGTTTGAAATTTTTTTAGACTAGACAAGGCCCCTCTGCTGTCGGTCTGTGTCCCTGGATAAAGCCTTTAGCCCTGGTAACATTGGAGCAAATACTTAAGGAGCTGTTCCAATCACTGTGCGCTACATATCTCAATGATGTAGAGACACATTACTCTTCTTGCAATAGGTTTACTGTGTAGCTGACTTCAGTGAGGTAATGCATTAACTTTCCACTTATGCAGCAGTATAAAAATCCTCTGGATTTAATTTGTGTCACCCCTCCCCTTCAGCATTCAGACTGTTTCTAGTCAATAATTAGATGCATTCATTATTTTTGTTCTGACTTGTTTGTCAAATGTGAACTTTTAGTTTTCAGGCTGATTTTGGCCGAAGTAAATCAGAGTATAAAATATCACACACACCTTTTTTCTGCTTCTCAAACAGAAACACGATTTACAGCCCTCTCTTTAGCTGCAGTCTCAGAGTTGTCAAGAATTAGCAAACCAAGTATAAAGTGAGGACTCCACACTGCTTGATTAGCCTTGAAGCATAGTTTTAATTTAATTTGATTTCAATGTGTCTATCTGTGTGTGTCTCTGTACCCTCTACTTTACAGCAATACACTCAGATGTATGGGTTGATAGGTTGGTAAATAGGAAGGTATTGTCTGTAGGTAGATATAGCGAGATAATATGGATATAGGTAGATCAGGAAATATAGATAGATGTGTAGATGGACAGAGAGAAAATAAATTTTAAGATAAATAAAGATCGCCAGCTTTGTCTTATTTAAGGCATTTTCAGAAGAAGAAACCTTTCTTCACAACATTGTCAAAATGAGCAGTTATTCAACACCTCCTTCACACTGATAATAATGGAAACAACTGCCTGATTCACACTACAGGGTCTAACAAGGAAAATGAGATTAGTCATTATTATTGTTACTGAGTGATCTACACAAATTCAGACTAATTGTTCACACGAGGAAACCATATAATTCAGAGGGTGAAAACAGGATGCAAAAAGGAGAAGTTAAAATAAGCAAAATCCATCCATCTCTATGTATACTGGCTTATCCAAAGTCCGTCAAGTTTTAAAAGTAACACAATTCTGAGCTTGCTGAGCATCTTCTAAAGGTCATTTAGAAGCCTGGAAGTTGAACGTATAAAAACAATAATGCCTTCATTTTTTTGCTTACAAGAAGGTCTACAGAAGATTTCTGGCTGCACTCAGGGGTCCCAGACCTTTTAATAATAGTGGATTGAATGGCATGCCATGAGCTAGACCAAGCAAAACCAAGTTAATATGCTATTATTTCTCTTAAGGTAACAATTATACTTATGGACATAGCGTGTCATAGTGAAGGATTTTGAGTTTCTATGGCACTAAAAAGTACTTTGTTTCTGCACACGAGAGACAACATAGCCTTTATTAAATTCACTCCCATTTTTCCATTCATTTTATATCAGCAGCAGTGCATCACAAACCCATGTACACAGAGCAAATCTGATGAAGCACCATGCGAAGTACATAGTTCCCTCCTTTTTGTTTTGTTTTAAAAGTAATAAAACAGTGTCAATCCCTACACCTGCTGGTGTGCACTGAAATATATGCTGGAATATATTTTTGTTGTCTGGTTTACTTTGGTTTGCTCTGCACCAGCTGGCACCCAGAAGAGAAGCACTACTGTGCACAGGGTTTTTTTCTACTTCCTAAATACATGTATCGGTTTGTTTGATCCTTACTCACAAATATCACTGTTGTGTTAAACTATATTTTGACCGTACGGTTGAGAGGCTCTTCTTGGAACTCACAGTAGTAGGCAGAGAGAAGGAAGGAGGTGGCGCTGCATGTTTGCCTTTCTAATTAGTTCTCATAGGAACCCAGCCATTGATTGTTGCAAATGCCCATTGATTTTTTAGCAGGGCCCTATGCTATTTGACGTTGGTGCTGAATGCCACGGGACAAATGACGTCTGTTTGTCTGTGAAATCAGTATGTCTTTTTGTGTTTAAGCTTGTGTGTGTGTGTGTGTGCATATGCAGCTTCCTACATATTTATGTGTTAAATGAGAATCGGTCTGGTGAGCTGACAAATAGGAAAGTTGCTGCAATCCTTTTGGCCCAGGCAGCCTAATCGAGAGACATTGATCTGGCCAGGGGCAACAGTGTGCTTACTTGCACATTGAGGTAGCCAAAAGCTATTGGCAAACTGTTTGTTCTCATTGGGTACAATCTCAAGACTTCCCTCTCTGTGGTCTAAACCGATCACTATGTCAGAAGTTCAGAAAGAGTGCCACAATTAATCAGCTAGTCTCCCTCAATATTTTTGGTAACAAAATGTTGGGTGATGCCCTAGTTCAATACCGACCTTAATTATTTGTTCATGAATTATGCCTACATTGTATAGATTGAGATGACAATATGTCAAGTGCAAAAAACTGCAAAGTAAGCATAAAACTATCCTAGTTTAGCACAACATAAAGAGCCAGTGGAATTTATTTTCTGATGGGTTTGAAAAAAAGTGAAAGTAAATGGTGTCAAATTGCTGATCGTGAACCATAATTTCTTGTTTATGTTTAAGTCAGTGTAATAAAAGGAGTTGTGCTCTGCCTAAAAAACATTATCTAGCCACACTCTATATTATTTAAAGGCCCAGTGTGTAACATTAGGACGATCTACTGGCAGAAGTGGAATATCATATTCATACGTTTGTTTTCATTAGTGTATAATCACCTGACTATAGGAATCGTGTTTTTAATCTACAAATGCTGCAGGTAGATAGGGCTTTTCATGTATTTTTTGGAGAGTTTCGTGGTCACCTTAGTTTTTCCTACACACTTCACAGCCGTTTTTATTCCCAGGTCTTCAAATACAGACACGAGTGGTGTTCTAGTTAGTTGCTAGATGCCACTAAATACTACACACTGGTCTTTTACCTTTAATACCAAAATTCTGTTGGTATTGTGAATCAATTTGATAAGGCAACCAGCTGCTCACTCTGTAAAATTGTAGGACATGGCATTTTTCAGAACAATTAGCAGGATCCTGATTGTGTGAATCATAAACGGTGTTCGGTGTATTTTGACTCTGAGCGCTCCATCTCAGAGTATGTTGTTAGCCAGCTTGGCAGTATCCAGGATATTGGTTCCAGTCACTTGATTTTCCACATTAAGTTTGTGATGTGACAGGTATTTCCACTGAGGTTCACAACAGGCCCAGTGCTTGCCAGCTAACTGGCTACTCGATTTTGCCCCCTGATCTCACGGCACATGTTAAGCCTACGCTAACTGTGTGGTGGTTGTCAAAAACTCAAAGGTGTCATCCTTGGTAATTTCATACAGCCAGCCAGTTGTAGTGATGCTTTAACTGTGCCAGTTCCCTGTGGATAAACTGGTTATATTTTGGTTGTGTCATGATGTATTTGTCTTAAAGTATTCAAGTAAAACAAGTTTGAGTGAGAATTAAAAACAGACGATTCTGTGACAAAAATGATTTTGTCCCGTATGAATGTAATAACTCCTCTGCCGAATGCTGCTGCCTCTCACCTGCTTTACTGTGGTCTTTGGATTTGTTGTCTCAGCAAACGGCCTGCTTTAATGGGAATTTGCCTGTCATTGTTCCCAACTCTCGTTCCTGCGAGGGGTTTGAATAATGCAACACTATGTCCTTAACTTCCATTTGAATATATCTGTCTGGTCAGCAGAGAGAGAAAGTGACAAAGACAGAGCGACTTAAGTCAGAGACAAAAGTACAGAAAGGCAAAGGGACAAAAAGTGAAAGAGAGGCAAGAAAAGAGAAAGTTGGTAAGAAAAAGGCAGACAAAGAAAGAAAAGAGCATATCAATAGACAGAGAGAAAGATGGATAGAAAGAGCGATTGTGAGAGAGAGGGCCACACAGTGCAGCGTCTATATTAGGCTTCCAAAGGATATCTAATGTGATTTGCTTGGGTAATGAGACAGGCAGCCATTTGTAATTTTTGAGTGTTAGTTCACTGCTCGTCATGCTTTTCTTCTGCGCTGTGTACCTACATCCACATCCTGATTACTGAGAGGTTGCAGATGTTTATTTTTGTTGGTTGGAGAATACGCCGACAGACGGTGATGAATGAAGACGGTATTCCTTTGTGGCAGCAACAACAGTAGCAGGATTGACTGTAGCTTTGGCAATAATGCTGTCACTACATCGCACTGTTGTTTGCTCAAAGTTTAGATTGTTTATTTATACTAAGCTGGAAAAATGATGCAAGAAAACAAGATGTTCTTTAAAGTCATAATATAAACCATTTCATTGTGACATTTCCATTTTACTATATGTATGGCTAAACAATCTTTATACAGTAATTTAAAAGACATATTACTTATTTTCACATCTAAAACTTTGGCAACATGATTGCCAAAATATAATTCTTGCAGTTAACAGTCTTAATGTGAGATGCTTGAATTAATTCTCCATGTAGAAGGAGAGACAGATCTGGTCTGCCTAATGACATGTTAAGCTAAAGTAGAAGTAGTTGGTAGTGAGACCTATTGCTTCAGTTGTCTATTGGCTAGTTAAGTCTTTAGCCAGGGTTTACTTTTTGACTCAATTACAGTAGCTGATTAAGTTATAGTTACACTTACATTCAGTGTCAATTGAGATTTTTCTTCAGATTTATTTTGTAAATTAACTTTACTGACCGTTGTGGTGATGTTGGACACAACTGAAAGAATTG